TATTTTGGCTTCCCGTGCCTTGAAAGTTCGTCCAGAAGTGATGGCGCTCTCAGTTTGAAACAAAGGTTCAGGAATCAGTTGGCATAAGCCAAACTGCCTCGAAACGAAGTTTGGTTGGTAGGCAAAGAGAAAAATTTGGTTCTTGGCTGGGGTTATTCTTGAAGAAATGAGTCTAGGCAGCAAAAAAGCTCTCCATACATCCTGAATCTCCTTGCTCTTGATAGCTTCTGAGAGAGCCATGGTGAACCATGAAGGTCCATGAGCCCTCGAAGCAAAAGGCGCCATGCTCTCTTCGAACTTGTGCCTTTTGGAGAATATCATGATGTACTTCGAGAATTGAACTTTGAAGTCATCTTTATCGTCATTGGGAGTTAATCTTCGAAGCCTAGTGCCTTCGACTATCCTATCACTTATTTCAGAATCTTGCTCATCAATGGTGTTGGCGGTTGATAAGGAGGGTTCAAACATGGCATTTAGCCATAGTTGGAGTAACCAAAAGGGGCCAGCCAATAGAATATTTTTGGAGGTGTGGGATTTGAGGCTCGAAACAGCTGACCTCAGGCTTTCATAGAGGTCAACTAAGAGTAGTTCACTTAGGCACACTTTTCGATTTTCATGCAAGTCCCTAGCTAGAGGAATGAACCTACTAGCTACCTGTAGGGATCTACTGCAGAAAACGTATCTTGACAGCCACAGGGTTAAGAAAGCAATGTGCTCTATGTCAGACACATTGTCCCCCTCAGCATGGTAATGACTGATAAATTTGGAAAAACTGGCTAGCTTGACTTCGAAGTCAATTATGCTTGAGTGCTCTTTGTTGTCGGGTATATAAGTTTCTCCCACTGGCGATAGCCCAGTGATGGCCGCTATATCGAAGAAGGTTGGGGTGATCATTCCACCTGGGAGATGGAAAGTGTTATAGGTATTGTCCCAGAAATAAAGAGACGCGAATAGCAGAGGGTGGATGTAGGTGAAACCAGGCTTCGATAGCTTAATCAGGTTATAGATACCTAATTCTTCCCATTGTTGGGATTTCTTAGCTTCTACTTTCGTGAACCAATTTTGATAGGCGATATCAGAGGTGGGGCAAGATCGAAATGGCTTAAAATTACTTTTTACATAATCCAAAACAAAGGGGTCCTTAGGAGGAACAGTTGGGGTTTCTATGGTATTTGAACTAGGAGATTCTACTGCCTTAGGGGCATCCATTTTGTTAAACAAGGGTTTGAAGCTATAACAAACTGGGAAAATCGTCCTGGTGTCTTTTAATATTTCAAAAACCGTAAGAGGGCCATTTAAAGCTAACCTCTTACCAGCAACGTTGGTAGGAATAAGTACCTGTGACGCATACATCATTTCTTTTTCTTTTGAAATCATCTGAGGGGCAAGAGCGGATTGACCTTGGAGAGTGATGATTTTACTTTCCATGGTAGCTCCTGCAGTTTTTCCTTTCTTCTTGGAGACTTTCTTGAGTTGGGATGAAGTAGAAGAAGACATTTTTGAAAGATGTTGAAGGCTTGGATTGTTTTACGAGAGAAGGAGGGTAAAAGATTTAGAGGATAAAAGATTTAGAGTGTGAAAAGAAAAGAAGAATATTAAGTTGATGTTTTATAATGGGAAGTTTAAGCATCCACCGAATAAAGGTGTGATACGTGGAGATCATGGGTTGGTGTGATGAAGAGGTGGCGTGAAGTTAACATAGGTAATAGGCGTGATTTAAAGATAATCATTATTTGTAACTGCACCACGCTGTGAAGTAGCTCCAGGCGGTTAAGAAATCCAAAAGGTGCTATGATTGACGTGACTGGAGTCAAATGCATTAAATGTTACGATGATTCGAAAGTCCCATCAAAATCTTGTGTAGGTGTTTAAAATAGGTATTTCTCAGAGGAATCGAAATACATATTTTAAAGGGGCAATTTGTTGGCTGAAGATTTTGATAATGATATTAAAAGCCAAATGAATTAAACGTTTTGATCGAAATGAGGTGAAGCGTCATATTTCGAAGTAGCAGAAGCAGTGTTTCGAATAAAGTGTGTCAAAGCTTGGAGCTTCGAGTGGCAATTATGGGAACATATCTAAAGAAGTCTCGAAATAACAACAAGGCTGTGTCTGGGAAGAGCGTTCGAAACGGAGAAGCACCAAAGCATTTGAAATTCAAATGGAAGCGGGACTTTCGAAGTTTGAAAGTTATGTGTTGGAGCATTTGGGGACACGTGGAAAGATGAAAGAGGCACTGTCCTGCATGTTCTAAACGTGGCATAATCCTATAGCAAGACCGTTATGGTCGAATTAGTATAAATAGAAGTCTTAGTATTAGGATTTCGTGTGTCATATCTATTATACAAAATACTCAATAACATTCAAACTACCACATGGCAAGGGAAACGAATGCAAGAGAAATGTATGTATGATAGCACCATGTATTTCTGATTTAATGAAAACCTTTTACCATTTCCAGTACTTTCCTTTATCCTTTTTGTCAAATAACCTTTACAAGTTTTCTTATTTACAGTCTTTTCACTTCGAAATCTCTTCTTCAAAGTTTCACATTTTATTGTTTTCTTCATATTTCAAGCACTTCATATCTCAGAAAACTGTCATATTTTCCATACCTTTACCTTCAAGTCTTATCTTTCGAACGCATATTTTTACTTAAAGTCATTTAAAGATTTCTTGCATTAAACGCTTTCTTCATATTTCAAACCTTTTACGTTCCAGAAAACCTTTACATTAACTGTTCTGTAAGTCGAAACCATTTACTTCACTTTTATGCAGTTTTACATGTCTTTACAACTAGCATTACAATTAGCATTTATTCATGTAATTTAGTTTTCACACACATTTTGATTACATCTTTAGATTTTTAGAGAGAGAAATCGAAATAGGCCAAACACATATACAATATCAACCATGAATATCTGTTCGATCGTGAGAGTAACCTTAATATCCAAGGAGTCCTAGGATCAATCTAGTCGATCCTGTGAGTTACCAGAGGAATTGAATAACAGTCAGAAAGATTATTCGATAGTTTGGAAGACTAGCGGTTGTTTACCAGAAATCACTGGAAACAGCAGTATGGCTCAGAAGGTTGATAAGCAAGATGAAGCTAAAACAGGAAGGTCCAACAATAATACAAGTGGACAATAAATCAACTATCAAATTGGCAAAGAATCCTGTGAATCATGAACGAAGCAAACACATTGATGTTCGATTTCACTTCATTCGTGAACATGTGAAGGAGGGAAGTGTCGAATTGAGGCATGTAGCAAGCAAAAATCAAGCAGCGTATTTTCACAAAACCACTATCAAAAGAGATCTTCGACGAAGGCAAGAAGATGATAAGAATGCTGGATGGAATAAACATTTAAGTTTACAGAGGAGTTTTGTTGAGTAAACTTTAATGTCATTAATAATAAGTTTTCATATTAAATAAGGTAGTAGGAAGATTAAGAACCAATGTAATTTAGAAGGTCAAAAGTTAGTAAGTTATGATAATTTTTATTAGTAGCAATTATCTTTTCTGAATTGTAAAAGTCATTGGGCCTATATAAAGACCAATAATGTATTTTATTTAACAAAAAAATTTACCTTTCTCAAAACAAATACAGATCGAAGTCTGCTTCTTTATAACACGGCACACAACAAAATAAGTACTTTTCATTAGCATTTATATAAATATAATGGCCTTTAAATATGTACTTAGTGGGAACACATGTCCCTTAATGTCATATATCGCTTCGTCTCTATTGGTGTCAACAAATCCTTATATATATCCTTTTATATATATATATATATATATATATATATATATATATATATATATATATATATATATATATATATATATATATATATATATATATATATATATATATATATATATATATATATATATATATATATATATATATATATATATATATATATATATATATATATATATATATATATATATATATATATATATATATATATATATATATATATATATATATATATATATATCAAAGTTTAATTTGATATCAAATATATAAATTAACTAAGATTTTTGTTTTATTTAGAAAATATAATTTATTTTCTTTTTAAATATTAAATATAATTTATTTTTTAAAATGAGATGCTCTTTTAAAACTCCCTCCCCTTCTCTTTTTTGTTTGTTTGATATATTGAGAAGCTTCAATTTATATAACAATTTTATTAATTTTATATTATAAGTTCATGTTATAAATAGAAATCGTTTTACTTTATATTATGAAGCTACATTTTTTTATTTGATTATAGTATTTATATTGTGTAATAATAATAGAGTTTTTTATATGATAATAATAATAATTATTAACGATAATTTTGATACTAATAATAGTACGTATAATAGTAAGAGAATATTTTTTAAATAATACTAATAATAATAAAAATAATAATAATAATAGTCTATTATTATTACCATAAGTTCATATTTATTATTATTATTATTTAAAGAAAATATGAATTTATTACTATTATTATTATTATTATTTTTATTATTATTATTATTATTATTATTATTATTATTATTATTATTATTATTATTATTATTATTATTATTATTATTATTATTATTATTATTATTATTATTTTGTCAATAGTTTATCAACAACTATTTTCGTAAATTTTTGTAAGGAAATGATCCAATATTCTCATTTGCAAAAAATAGTCTATTATTATTACCATAATCAAGTAAAAATGTCTCTTCATGATAAAAAAAATTAAAATGATTTTTATCAACATAAACTTGTATTTATAAAATTATTAAAAATGTAATATAAATTAAAGTTTTGAATATAAAAAAATATATATAGGAAGAGAGAGAGTGTTTTTAAAAAATATCTCATTCTAGAAAACTTTTTTTATTTAATATTAAATAAAATAATAAATAATGTTGCTTAAATAGAACAAATTCATGTACTTCCAAGTGCATTCTCGTCTTTAAAAATCGAAAGAAAAAAATTCTCCAAAACATGAAAACTATCTTTTGTTTTTCCATTCTTTTTCTTGTCGTGTCTATGAATTTTGGTATACAAAATAAAACATGAATTTTCATTATATAAATGTATTAGTCGGTGGTTCTTTTGTTAACAAATTTTTTGTTTAATTGGATTGTACTATTTATTGCAGGAAATCAGATGAAGATGACAGAGGCAAAAGATTGTTTCCGCTACGTGAATCATTTTTGCCGTAAAGAGTCTGCTTGGCAGGTTTTGGTTTGCAAAGCTTTTTGTAAGGTGGATTGCAGAAATATACATGCAACTGGAAAATGTTATGACGACCTTTCTTGTCACTGTAATTGTTGTCCTTAAATTGTTGGCACTATTATTACAAGTTTATAATAATAACATTGCAAGGTTCCAACTTTCAAAAATCTACACATTTTCGAGTTATGCTCGTGATGAGTACTACTAGTAGAAAAGACATTTTCCTTCGAAGTTAACAATATTGAAACGCCTTATTCCTAGTTTGGATAAATCATACTAATAATTCAGAATAGATAGGTCTGATAAAAATAAATTTATCTCGTTATACAGTCCATTCTCGCCTTAAATCTAACAAGAAAAAAAATCAATTTAACAAGAAATGTAGACGGATACAGATAAAACTCAATTTTTAATAATCTGATTTTTAATCGTACTCACCTTTTTTCCACCTGACTTATTAAATTTATTTTTAATAATTTTGCTATTCATTTATTTTTCTAAATGTTAAGATAAGAAATTATTAGAATTACTATTAATTTAAAAAATATATAAATTAAATAAAAATAGTTAAGTAATATAAATATTATTAAGGGAATTAAATATTTAATTTAATTATTAAATTTTGTTGCTATGAAAAAAATATATTTTAAAAGAAAATATATTTTTGTGAGTGGATACGGAGCAGGGCAATAAAACTCAATTCTTGTTGGAGACGAGGTGAATGATCATTTATTTTATTACCTAGTTGATAATGAAGACTAGAATGAGACTGATACATGGAAATAAGGACAAAGTTGGTAATGCTTAAACTCGCTCGCGCCTATTTCATTTCCATTTCTAATGATAGGTTATATCATTCTTTTAAAAACACAAATTTTACATATACGGCCTTAAGATCTTTATCATTCTTTCATTTATTTATATATTTTCACCCCTACAATGGAAATGTCTGAATGGTATAATATTACACATTGTATGAACTAGGTTTCAAACACTATTATATATATAAAATTAAATATAAGTATAAAATAATTAAAAAGTATAAAATAATTAAAAACTCCAATGTATTTGATGTTGAAAATTAATGGACAATTAATTTCCATGATTCAAATATGACAGTTAAATAAAATAAAAGTGCCCTATAGACAAAAGTTGAAATTGCCTTCAAATCTGTCTGAAGGAACTTTTGATCAGTTTATGCACTAAACATCCACCGACGAAAGTTGCATTTAAATCTGTCGGAAGGAAATCTTGGTCAATTTTTGCACTAAAATATTGGTGCACAAGGTTAATAAATGAAGGAAAGGTAAAAGAAAATATATTTATTGCAATGACGACTATAAAGCTTACAAAATGAATGATACAAATGATTGTTACTACTAGCTAGTCTATTTATACATAAAGTAAATTATCATGTAGGCCCTAAAAGATAAACTTAATGACTAATTTAAAAGGTACAAACTAGGAAATACTAAACTTAATAGTTAAGCCAACAAACTCAGAATCCAGAACCCCAGAAGTTAAACATACTTCAGGCCGTAACCTCAGAAGCTTCTGCTTCTGATTAATAACAACTATTAAATAATCAAACTATTGTTTCTAATTAAGCAGTCTCAGAAGCTTCCAGCTTCTGATTAACAACCTCATAAGTTCAATTGCTTGTGAGCAACAACATCAGAAGTTTTTAACTCTAGCAACAACTTCTGAATATGAAATACTTTCCAACACCATCCATTAATTCATATTCGGCTAATCAAAAAACTACAACACCAATTCCATCCCTCAAATGGATAAGGTGTTCAGTTTTGACATCCTTCGTCAAAACATCTACAAGTTGCTTCTGGTTGCTACAGTGTGCAACTTCCAATACTCCATTTAGAAATGCATATTTCACCTTGAAAACACATTTGACGGTGATGTTTTTCTTCTCCTTCAAAATTTCAGTTAACTTCGAAGTCTTGTTTCTTTCAATAGCATCAAGCCATTCTTTCATGAGAGCTTCACAGGTTGGCAACACAACCACCATTTGCTTCTTGGAGCACTAAGAAATATGACTTTCTAAATACAAAAAAAAATCTAGAAGTATTTCTTCTGTCAACTCTGTCTCCATACCAATGAGAGTCTGGATAGTATATCCGCTCTACATCTGATCTAACACTAGAAGGGAATAACACTACATACCTCAAAGTCCCTTCAGTACATTTCATCTTGTCAAACTCTGCAAATCTCATTGGTATATTTCTGATTTTTTGTGGGCTCTAGAAACTTTTGGACCTCGTCCAAAACCACTAGCTTAAGAAATACCACCTTCAAAAGTTGGATCGCCTTCAGAAGCTCTATCTTCAGAAGTTCCACTTTCAGAATCATGATCATTGTCAAAAACTGTATTATCTTTAGAAGCTCCTCCTTCAGAAGATCTACCTTCAGAGACATGATTTCTACCAGAAACATGATCATATTCAAAATCTTGTCCTCCAGAATCGACGTCTTCAGAGTTTCCCTTCCAGAAGCATGACCACCACCAGATTCAAAATCTGGATCAAAATCAGATTCACCATCTGACTCATCTTCAGAGTCTCCAAAAGATTCTTCATCCTCTGACTCTGACTCACCTTCAGAACTTTCAAGTTCTGGCTCATTTTCAGAAGCAGAATCTCCTTTAAATTCTGACTCATTTTCTGATTCTTTTGCGTCATCTTCTGATTCTGACTCATATTCAAACACTCTTTTAGATTTAGAATATTCAGAGTCATCTTCTTCCCTTTCAAAATCAGAAAATGACAATCTCACAGGTTTCTCATCATATTTATAAGCCATTAATAGCACAGATTCATCATCTGAATCTCCTCTGGCTATTTTTGCTTCTTCTTTGTTTGACCAACAATCTTTAGCAAAATGACCAAACCTATTACAATAGTAACACTGAATCATTATCTTGTCATACTTCTCCTTTCCCTTATGATGTTTCTTTTTATCAGAATAGAAGACTTCTGACTTTTGAGAACTACCACCATGTCTCTTCTGTTTCTTGTCTTTCTTGACAAAAGAAGCTTTTAGAGCCTGCTCAACTTCCCTATCAAAATTTCTTCCAGTCAAACACAACTCTTGCGCCTCTAGACTGCTTCACAACTCTTTTATTCTCACGGTGTCCGGATCTTTAGAATGTTCAATTGCTACAACAATGTAATCAAATTGAGGAGTAAGTGACATCAATATCTTCTCAATGATTACTTGTTCAAAAAGGGTTTCTCCACAAGCTTTCATCTCATTAGTGATCAGAATCACTCTAGGTACTCAGAAACCTTCTCGTTGTCCTTCATGTTGAGATTCTCATATTGCTTTCTTAGGAACTGAAGTTTCACCTTCTTCACTAATGCATCACCATCGTAACATCTGACCAGTATATCCCATACACCCTTTAACGTCGTCGAATCTATAATATTCTCAAACACGTTCACGTCCACACACTGATGGATGTAGAATAACTCCTTTTGATCTTTCTTCCTCTTGTCTCTCGTGCGTTTCTCTGCTCTTCCGTTGCATTTTCTGCAACTAGAACATAACCTTCGGAAACAAGCTCAAGAACATCTTGAGCACCGAACAACACACGCATGTGAATCATCCAACAATTCTAGTTCTTTCCATCGAACACTAGAAGCTTGGTACTCAAATTGTCGTTTCCGTTTATCTTCAACCTTGTACAAAACACTCAGATCTCACAAATACGGTATTTCCCAATCTCATAGAATCACAAAATGTGTTTCTGTTTAGATTTATTTTGTTCAAGATTCAACACGAATTCAAGAACCAAAATCAATCACACAACGTCTCACCGTTTCACTCATGTTTCCCGTTAATTCAATCGGAGCTCTAGATACCAATTGTTTGTGCACAATGTTAATAAATGAAGGAAATGTAAGAGAGAATATTTTTACTGCAATGACGGCTAGACAACTTACAAAATGAATGATACAAATGATTGCTACTACTAATCTACTTATACAAAAAATAAACGGTCATGTAGACTGTCATAAAAGGTAAACTTAATAACTAAGTTAAAAGGTATAAACTAGGAAATACTAAACTTAACAGCTACGCTAACAAACTCAGAACCCAAAACCCCAGAAGTTAAGCATACTTCTATGCGTAACCTCAGAAACTTCTGCTTCTGATTAATAACAACTTCTGGTTACATCAAACTACCACTTCTAACTAAATAGTCTCAGAAACTTACAACTTCTGACTAATAATCCCCAAAATTCAACTATTTGTAAACAACAACATCTTTTAAATATGAATTACTTCTAACACTTATCAAATTACTATATACGTAAATTATGCATGACATTATGTACTTGTTTGGTTCTGCGGCCAAAAACCCTTAAAAGCATGTTTACTGTCGACAAACGTGATTTTATTACATTTGAAGATGTTTGGATCTCATTTGCAAAGTCATTTTTGGATCTTAGAATCAATTCTAATAGAAGCAACAAATCACTGTGACCAAAATCAATTCTTAGATGCTATTATCCACTTTACCCTTTTGTTGTAACCTACCGTTTCTTATTTTCATAGTTGCAGGAAAAACTATCTTTCTGAAGGTTAGGGAAAACACCGTAAATGCTTCAAAGTCCATTTATAAAAATAATATTTTAAATAACTAAGAAAATAAAAGTGGTATATTATTGTCAAAAAAAAAATAGAAAAAAATGTTATTAAGTTGAATTAAGTAACATGTTTTTATAACCAAAAAAACATATGTTTTTTATTGTAAATTATTTGACAGTTTCTTTTTTAAGATTAATTTAAAATTTTAAAATAGAAATAAGTTTAATAAATAATTATATAAAATAGAAATAAATTATAAAATTAATTAATTCATTAATAATGCAATATAAATTTTATACATTTTAATTATTTGATAATTTAGTAATTTTAAGTTTTGTGTATTTAGCTACATCCATTTTAGTAATTATATATTCAAAATCAATTTTGACAAATAAATAAATTTTATATCCTTCAATGCCCTAATATCAGTGACTATAACTTTGGGAGTAATGATTCACTCCAACAAAAGGAGCAAAAGGCAATTTATCATTGCTCTT